AGAAGCTGCGTAACTCCGTTTGGTTGGAGGGGGTTTGCCACGTGCGGATACATTGGATGCGGTCAGGGAGGGGTGAGATGCGCCCGGGGGAGATTAAGTGACCCAAGAAATTTACCTCACGGCGTAAAAAAGGCACTTAGTGGGGTTAAGGGTCAGACCAGCAGAGCGGAGGGCTTCCAATACCGCGCGTAAATTGTGGTTGTGTTCGTCGATAGACCTCCCAAACACTAAAATTTCATTGAGGTAGACGAGACACTTGTTTGGTATGAGGGGTTGGAGGACACGATATATAAGGCGCTGGAAAGTGCCGGCTGCATTGAACAGGCCAAACGGAAGGGTTTGGAACTCATACAGACCTTGGGGTACCGTGAATGCGGTTTATGGCGGTCGTCTGGATGTATCTCTACCTGCCAATAACCGGATTTAAGGTCTAGTGTTGAGAACCATGCAGCATTTCCTAAGGCGTCTAGGGTGTCATCTAACCGTGGAAGTGGGAAGGAATCACGAACTTTCACGGCGTTAAGGCGACGATAATCAACACACAGCTGGACGGATCCGTCCTTCTTGGGGACGAGGGCGATGGGAGAAGCCCATGGAGACGACGAAGGCTGGATTATTTTAGCCTGCAGTAGTTCATCTAACAGCTTGTTGACTTCTTCACGATAGGGCAATGGGATGCGGCGCGGGGGTTGCCACACGGGCTTGGCGTCTCCCGTGTCGATCGTGTGCTGAATGAAGTGGGTGCACCCGATGGTGTCGGTGGACCAGGCAAAAAGGTCTGGGAAGGAGTTTAGGGGGGCCTTAATCTGCTCGTGCGCGACCGGACCGATTAGGGAGGGGGCAGTTAGAACGGTATCTAAGGGGGTGGGCTCTAGCGCTACGGCGGAAAGTACTGAGTTGTACATAATGTCGAGGTCGTCTATAATGGCTGGAGGGGCGGGCGCGGTGATTTTTCGGCCGAGTGTGAGTTGTCGCTCGCGAACATGGACTACGCAATTGTGAGCTTCTAGGAAATCAAGACCGAGAACGAGAGGCCAGGGACCATCAGGGGTAACTAGAAACCTATGGGAGATACGTGTGTTTTCGATCATAAGTTGTAGCGAAACAGTGGCCGAAACTGGTACCGCTGTGCCGTTGGCGGCGCGGAGGGAGCGGGGAGCCGGAAGTGGGTCCACGTGGCGCAGTAGGTGATTGGGAAGCTTGTGAATAGTGACAGGCGACACATTTGCGCCCGTGTCTACTAACGCCCGAGTTGGGTGACCATCCACACGTACCGGCACCGTAAAAGCAGGGACAGAAAAAAATCATGAAAGTAAATAGTGTCAATGGGGGTGGACTAACAAGGTGGGTTGTGGCCACAGTGGCGAGCTCGTGATCCAAAAGCCGCGCAGTACTGGCAGCCAAGGTTGTGATCAGGGAAGCGGACCGGCAAAGGGTTCCGTCTATCTGGGGCTTGGGGCTCCGGCCGGGCTGGGGGTATTCAATTCAATTATTTTATTAAACACCCGTCGGGGTCCCATCAAAGCAAGTAAAAATAAATTTACATGCAAATTTTAGACGATGTAGGCAAAATCTGCACAAAGTGCAATGCATAGTTTTTGAGATTAGAAGTCCGTTAAGCAAAATGAAAAATGAAAAAAATGAA